ATCAAAAATTTTATTTCACAACAAATGAATGTTTTTTGCGGAATGTTTTACAATAAAAGATAAAATGAAAAAATTTTTAAAAAATTTCATTATCCTTCAATTTTTAGAAAATTTGCTTTGAATTTCTTTTGTAGTAATGCAAACTTGTAATATATATAATATATAACTATATAAAAAATTTTTTACAATATATGAGAATAAATGTAATAATATAAAGCCTCTTTTATTATTTATAATTTCAAGTGATATATTATAATAATAATAAAATTTATTAACAACATTTAATTTCAAAAAATTATATTTATTTATATAATCTGTTTCTCAACTAATCGTTCTTATACATTTTAGTCAGTAAAGTAAAAGAAAAAAATGTGAATTGCAAAGTTTTAAATAAAGTCTTTGATTTTTCAAAATCTGTTAGATGAATCTATGGATGACTCTTTTTAATTTCTTTCGATAGTTACAAATAATGTATAAGAACACAAGGTGTTACTAAACAAAGAAAAATCTTGTAAATTATATTATTATAATTTCTTATATATAAGTTGATAATTTAAGATTTTATTTTCTTATTTAAGTCAATAATTTTATTTTCAATGCTCATGCATTTGCGATGTTCATTTATGATATTAATGCAAGTAATGACGAAAATTTTAGTTATAATAATACTAATGGTAGGAGAGAATGAGGAAATGCGGCGCACTTAAGAAAAAGTGAAATATTTATTACGAAAAATGTTTTAAACGCAATAAAAGATAAGATAAAATTAAAGTTGAACATGACGTCTATTACTGTATTACAAATTTAATAACATTTTAACCTCGTAATATATGAAATTATTGCATTATGAAAAAAGTTCATTTGCGTCGTATTACCAAGCGCATAATGTGACTACAGTTTCTATATTAAAAGATCATTAGAATTGATATCGTATTTGATTTTGTGTTAAATTTGAGTTAAAAAATTTCAATAAGGAAGTAATATTTTTCTTGTTCAATTATTAAGCATGCGTAAAACTTAATAAAATCAGTTAACATTAAAAGGAATTTTCTGAATAGATTATCAATATAAAGTTAAGTGAAAGATGAACAAAGTTATAGTAATTTTTTTTTTTATTAGCATAAACCTAGTGAACATAGTATACTTACATACATATTCTAAATATATAAATTATTTTTAATTATTCAATATAAATGTTTCAAATAAGATAAACAATATAACGTATTAGATATCTGCATTTTAACACAAGATATAAATAAAATCATAGAAAAATTAATTTATATTTAATCTCATGGGGATATTTTTTTCTACATTGTCCAGCTGACTCCATAAAAAATATTAAACATTTTTAAAATGCGCTCTGCGATATATTTTTCCTGTTCGATAGAAAAACAGCATCTTCTGCCCAGCATTGCTTTAGATACATTATTTCTTTTTATTCTTCTTCGCAAGGTACTTTCTAGAATTCCAAACATTTTGGCACTTTTTCTAATGTGCGTTCCTTCAGAAACTGCTATAAGGACAGATCTCAACTTATTCGAAGTCCAATTGTTTTTTATCGTACGAGTATAAACTCGCATCTGTAACACAATACAGGTAACTTTATTCATAAAGAATGTTATTTGAAAAATTCATTTTAAGAGCAAATAATCGCATATTTCATAAAACAAAAATCATTAACCTTATCTAATCTCAAAATATAATCTCTCAAAATATTGTGTATTTTCATTTTATTTCCTGAATGTGAACATCTGACGATGCAATATGATAAATTCGTAAGAGAATAACAATGTTTTATAAAACAAAAGTGTAATACTTTGCAATATCAGTCTATTCAAGTGAACGTAATCATAACATCCATGCTTCATCGTCATTTCAATGCGCCAGTCTATCTTTCCATTTTGACGACATCTGCGCTGCGTTGCCCGTGCGCATTTAAAAAAAAAATCAATAATTATTGCAATTAAATAAATTATTTTAAGTATAAAAGAGTAAGTATAAAATTCAGTTTCTTAAATAATAGCTTAATACTATGAATTAATTTTGAAGAAACAAAATTATATGCATGTATTTAGGGCAAGGCAATTGCAATTTTACAAGAAAAATATATCGAACTAACTTTTAGTCGATAAAAATTAAAAAAAAATGAATTGTCCTGAAATTTTGTATATATCTTAGTTAAACATAATTGCATCAAGTAACATTAATATTCGAAGTGTTGACTAATAAATTAGTACAATAATAATGCGCCGTATTGTCCATTACGCCGCATTGCCTTATTCTCCTACGCTCCTCTCTCTCTCTCTCTCTCTCTCTCTCTCTCTCTCTCTCTCTCCCCCCCGCCCCTCCACCCCTCCCACTTCTTCCCTCCTCTTTCCTCCTGTGTGTGCATGTGTGGTATGCAGTGCGTGTATGCGCGTGTGCATGTGTGTAGACAATAATATATAAACATTATATTCAATACAATTGTATTCAATACAAAGACAGAAATTTTCATAATTAAATATATTGTTTGATATATTTTAAGAAAGTGTATTATTATTATAAAAATAATTAACTACTTTTAGCTGCATTTGCTAAAAAGTCTGTCTAACTATAATTTCTACAGATATATATAATTTTCTAAATTTTCACAAAATTCAAAAACATGTCTCGTTATTGTTTTAAACTTTTTCTTTTGTCTTTATTTTTCGCTAAAAACTTTTTTTTTTTTCAAATCGCGGCTTTATTTTCGATTCTTCGACAAACATATTAAATTAGTATGAGTAAAAATTAATATGTGCGCTTTATACAAAGACTAATGCTTCTTTAATTAACATTCTTAACTTTATACAATATATTAACTTTATACAATATAATTATACAATATTTAAATAAAGAAGTGCCTATATGCATGAAGAGAACAATTTTGCTAAAGTATTTAGTATTGGATACAGATTTAAACAATTTTATTTCGTTTGTCAAAATTATATAGGACATTCAAATATAAACGTTGCAAAAATTTTGACATTCTAACAATTATCTTCTATATAATTATTTCTGACGGTCCATCAAATTATTTTTAGATCTATGTTTCATTAAATTTTCAGATATTTTTATTTCTAAATCTATTCTTTCCGTGTAACATTATAATTTTAAAATATTAAAAAACCTGAATTATGCGTGCGCCCACACACACATACACACACACACACGCGCGCGCGCGCGCGCGCGCGCACACACACACACACACACACACACACACACACACGTACTTTACGAAAAATTTAATGAATTTAGGCAATATGTATAGTGAATAATTAAATTTCCTTAAATTGACATTAACGCTAGACATTGAATGTAAAGGCGAACTATGCATAAAATTATGCACGATTATTTGACACTTTACACACGTAATAATTTTATATTATACAAATTTCTGTTGGATACCAGAGACATGAAAATAATACTATCCAGTAATGCATGAGACAACGTGAAGAAAGTGGTCTTGCTTCGTTAAACACAACATACATAAATATACTACATGTGAAATTTTCAGTCTTGACTCCAAAAATACTAATTCCGCTGAAAATGATTCGAACCAGAGAGTTTGATTATATAGTTGAAAAATTTATATTATTAAATCTATATTATTAAATCTCTACAAAGGATAATCTCGATTTGTAACAATTAATGAAAATTCTTTATATCAGTAAAAGTTGATTACATAAGATGTAAATTAAGAAAGAAGACAAGACTGTATAGGTCGTAGATTTAAAGAAATTTAATATTATAATGCATAGTAAAAATCCTGGAACGGCTAACATTTAAAAAAAATATTGATCTATTTAAAAAATATTTGAAACAAAAGTAATAGAATTTTAACAAAGTTATCAGATGATGATATTAATATGATTTTGGAATAACTTTGGAAAGTGCAAGTTCAACACAAAAATCTTAAACGAAACTTTCTATTTTTCATGGCAAATTTTTATAGCTGAGATTTATAGTTAAGACATTTCCAAAGCACTGATTACAAATCTTTTCTTTATAAGAACTTTCCGAGTTATGGCATTTGAAAGTTACAGTGCCGTCGGCATTAGCATTAAATTTCTTGGAACTTACGACTATACAGTTTTGTCTTTTTTCTTAATTTACATCTTATGCTATCAACTTTTACTGATATCAAGGATTTTCACTATCTCATGCAAACCGAGATGATTCTTTGTTAATGTATTATAGCGCTCCATTTTTTTTTATCGCGCTAACTCCAATCTTTATTATTAATTGTAATTTGTTTTTTGAAAAATATAAGAGTTCAGTAGTTTAATTTTATTTAGTATTATTTTCGATATCAAATTTCCTCTATGTAGGTATGTACGTGCGTGCGTGTATGTGTGATATATAATCTTTTCCATATATTAATGGATTTAAAAAAAAAACGAACATTATTTTTTATTAAGTTTCAATTTAATTCAGATTTAATTAACATATACATTTTGTCTTCTATTAAAAAAAAAAAAA